TGCTCAGCGGGGAGTCTGCTTCTCCCTCTAACCCTCCTCCCTCTCGTGCTCTCTGTCTCTCATTCTCTCTCTCACAAATAAATAAATAAAATCTTTAAAAAAAAAAAGAAGAAATGCAGATTCTTGGGCCCAGACACTAGGGACAGGACTCAACAATCTGGTTTTAACAAACCCTCCAATTGATTTTGGTGCTCACCAAAGTTGAGGAACCCCCCTTATTTAGATGGAGGGAATAACACTAAAACGTCTGCGTCAGATTGGCCATGTGGATTCCTCTTTGAGGGATCATAACAGCTAGCAGCTAATATGTTTTGAATATTTGCTATCAACTGGGTACTATTCTGAGTCCTTTACCTGCATTACTTCCTCTAATTCTTGCAGAACCTTACACAATATAATGTTCTTACTCCCATTGTACCAGGTCATAGAAATAGATTCATTCTAGCAGGAAATCTGCTCTGATCTCAGTTCTGCAGCCAGCAATGAGACTCTAAGCCAATCATTTGACCATGCTATGCCTCAGTTTCTTTCTGTTAAATGGGTAACAAGGCCTGTCCTAGCTTCTTCAGAAGGTTATTATTAGGATATGATTAAAGAACTATGAGCATGTGTTCAAAAGTTAGAAATATTTTTAGAAATGTTTTTAAAGCAATGTAGTATTTTTGATAGCAGTTCCCCTGATGTAGCTCTCACTAAGGTACTGCCCTGATATGCTGGAGCAGGGTTATATTGGGTTTTTACTGTGCCACTGGATTCCTCTGTATAAAACGGAAATGTGTAGAAAGTGGGGGAAGGAAGGAGATCAGTATATGGAGAATGCAGTGAAGGAGTGAGATTAGGAAAAGAAAGGAAGTCAAAAACAAGGGCTAGGGAAAGTTTGTTTTGGGGGGAGTTCTCTCAGAAGAGGGGATCCTGCATCCTGGAACCTCCCTGCTAAGCCCCATGTAGCTTGGGGTCTGGTAGTAGAGGCTGATGCTTTCTCTCCAGAGCTCTACTATGACCGCGGGAACCACCATGAGTTTGTGTCCCTGGTGAAGGATTTGGCCCGGCCCGGAGAAATTAGCCAATCACAGGCCTTCGACTTTGAATTCACCCACGTGGAGAAGCCGTATGAGTCATACACAGG